GATTAGCATCACACACTTTCAGCGGCATTGAGAGCGCGGTATTTGCTTAGCATCTCAGAAGTTGGGCTCCCAAGCCGATTTCTGTGTAAACAGGGGTTAGAAAAGCTAGAAACGAAAGCCCTGGCCAGCAACCAGATTTTTTTGAATGGACAGGCGCATACCAAGCAACGGTGACTCTTGGTATATACCACGTTGGCATGCCACTCCCCTAACTTATCTCTTTACATATTTTCATGTTAAATTGATAACATTTTAAGAAGTTTACGAACGGCAAGAACCATTAGCTTGGAGACGAATATTCATAAAACGCTGATAAGTTGTAACCCACTCAACGAAGTTTGGCGGCCGAGATACTATCGGCTATCACGTCTTGTCGAGCGCTCGCTCTCACGCCGCCCGCTCGCTCCGCCGCGCCCGCCGCCGCAGACACCATTTCCCTTCCCTCCTACTAAATCGACCCTTTAATTCGACCCCTGAGCGGCGAACCTCGCCGCTCTATAACCTCGACCCTTTAATGAACACGCTAGCGGCGAACCAAACTTGGATATACCAGTAAAACCCGCGTTATAAGAACATAGACTTTTAAGAACAGTGTCTAGCCAGCTAAAATTTCCCATTTTAGACCCCCTGCTACATAAGAACCTGTTTTAGGCTATGATTTTTAAAGCTAGGGTATCTTAATTTTCCGATGCAGATGAAAGATTAAAAAGCAAAACAGGTGAAAATAAAAAGACTCTTGTAGCTCAACAACTATCGAACTGCCAACATATACTCAAGCTCCATATTGACCTCATGTCAATAGCAATAGGTCTCTCTTCTTAACAATACACAACGGTTCATTATGCAGCCCCTTCTGGCATTTTGTTTATTGCAGAACGTCAGTACTTGCCATTATTTACACGTATTACAGGTAAAAACCCGCCATAAATGAACACCGTTGGATTAAGAACACTCGCGGCTGAAATGCGGTAAAAAAATTGCATATAAATAGAAACATCAGCTTGAAATAAAATCTATCTTAATATTCTAACTTTGTGGAGTCCGTATCATCAACCAGTTGGCTCCTAAAATAGTCCATACATAACTATTTGTGTGTGTGTGTCCTTTTGTGCGTCGCGTGCTTGTCGCAGTGCGTGCGGCGACACCTGCTTTTCCCCTCAGCCATGCCGCTGCAGTGCCGCTGGTGCGTGCGTGTGTATGTGCGCGTCGTAGTGCATGCGTGGTAGTCTGTATTTGCACTGACCACCAAATTCCACCAATGTACTGCCAAACAAATCGGTTAATGTGATTCACGTGTAAGCCTGATTGACTTCGCTATTTGTATTGGACATTCACATAAAAACCCAAACAAAAAAACCAATCAAATAGTGCAACCCAACCGTTAACTCTCCCATATAACACCATTACACGATGACACCTTCCTGTACTCGCGTACACAATGCATCACGTTTCCACTAGACCGCCGCCGCTAGCGCGGTCCGTCTCTCAGCTAGCTACATATTAAAAGTAAAACAATTAAGAACCTATTTAAGACTTTGAGCCTAATTTTTCACGTACAGCCACCATTTATATTAAGAACGATCGTTTTGAGGCTAGAATGCTGAAAAATCTCATGTTCTTATACACGCGGGTTTTTACTGTACTTACACGATCTTGTGTCGAGATAGGCTGGTGTCACGTACCAAAGCTAGGTCAAAACTGCGACCTTTTATCTTGACCTTGACTTGATATTAGTTCCCTCGCCTCTAGTAACGCGGCCCCTAATTGACCTAGCCGAACCAAAACTTTTCGCGTTGTACTTACACATCTTGGGAGAAGGCCTGTGTCCGCCGTTATCAAAACTCAGCTGCCAGGTCACTGCGGACCTGTATTTTACCTTGACCTTGACCTTGATCAATTTCCCGTTCACTCTATTAACTCGCGCCCCATAAATTGCACCTCTTCGGCGAGCAAATGGCATTACTTCACACATCTTGCCGGTGAGAAGGAGGTGTCGGTACCAAACCAGGAGATATTTCATTAGATACTAGATCGCGTAGGCAGTTACTATGACAATACTGCCATTTCTAGTTTATTTAGCCTATACTGACATAGTCAGATGCAGTTGTAGAATCGCTTTGATCGTCCGTTCCGATGTTTGTCCGCATCGTCGATCCGTGCCGCTCGCGTCCCGGGCGTCAACGTCGCGCACAAAATCCTTACCCTCGACGTTACGGTCAATCACGTATATTCGGCACACTCGGGCGGATCGTCAAAAGTGTTGGGATGTCGAGCTGTGGGGTCAAAGTGTCAAAGGTCAAGATGGCTTGGTAAAGAAGGCGGGTAAATATCACGCCTTAACTTAGGTATAGGAGGAATGCAGAATTGCGGACAATCTAAACGGCTCCACCTAGGGTTGTGCATATGTCCGGGTGTATAGCATCATGTAGGAAAACAATCAACTGTGCGGAGGAATTGGGATGCGTTCACAGGTACAAGAGGTCAATGCGGCACGAGGGCAGATTTTAGACATTTTTGACGGGACATAGGTCTTGACGCGAGCGATTTGGAAAACTTTTTTTGTTTCTAGCGGTGACCTAGCATTTTTATAGGCTTATGATTAAGGACCGCATGAAATATCTCCTCTTCGCTGACGATCGCGGAAGATACTAAAGTCGTCGGATCAACGCTTTACTTGACCCTCCCAAGAGGAGGTCGTTAAACAATGGATTCTGTTCACTGTCAAGCAAAGCGACGCTGAACTGCTTATATGCTCAGATACGACATCCCTTCCCTACCACCCTCCTATCTCTCCCCTTCCCCACCCCCCGCCCACGCCCCGTCCCCCAACCCTCTCCCACTCCTCCCTACCCTCCCCTGCCCTACTCAAGAGGAGAGGCATCTAAACTATGGATTTTGATTGACTGTCTGTCTAGAAAGAATTGACTTGGCGGCGTTTGCTAGTAGAATCTCTATAGCACGTGCGGATGTATTGGAGGCTAACAATGTCACAGTGAAATTCAAGAAGTACAATTGGTTAAAGAAGTTTCATGCCTCCTTAATGTCGTATTTAATTTATATGGCGATTCTGTAAGTGCTCAGTATGTTACATTAACGCATGCGCATGCCACTGCAGTGGGCGTGCTTGCCAGTTAGCTAATGAGATGCAGTGTTGCGGGCAGTTTCTTGCTGTCGTCTAATTTGTTGCAGGCTGGCGCTCGTCTATTTTGCAGCCCTGTAGCGCTTGCGTAAGTAATGGATGGAGTGGTACCCTTTAATCTAGTCTTGCATAATAGTTGATTTGTACTAACGAATGCATGGAGCTTCCAATCTTTAATCTGAATGGACGACTTAAAACAGTATGCGCCATCTCAGCTGCAAACTTTCATAACGATCAAAACGAAAAATCTCTTTTTGAGAAGGTTCCCTGCAATACCATCTCTGTTGCATTCACCTATTTCGGACGTCTCATTCGTGAATCACATTTGGGCGCACATACTACCACGGCCTTTATCTAGCGGATCACACCACTCCACCACAGAAGTCACCGCAGTAGCAAGTTAGATCCGGCAGCGCTGTCCGCTATGCGGGCACTTGTATATATACTATTATCCGAAGCGTGTTTTAGATGCCACTACCATGGCAAAATGCAAAGTACAAAGCGGACTGGGCCCAAGCCATTGAACCATGGTTGGGGGGGTGGCCGGGGGGACAGAGCTGAACTCACGTTTAGAAAAGTGCCTCAAAGTTTTTAACATGTGCCTTTGTACTTGAATGCCGCCCCCGGGAGGCGGAGAAAATATGCCCATTATCTTCTATACAATGCTAGATCAAAAATACAGCCCCACTAGATTCGATACTCGATTATGTGCTGATAAAAATTTCACGAAGCCAAACTGATCCGCTTGGTTCTCGGTTATCCAAAGGGTGCCGCCTGCAGGAGGAAGAAGACCAAGCAGGCAGAGAAGGGCCCCCTCGATGCTCGCCCCAGCGAAGCGATGCCCGCGAGGCGGCGCGGGGCAGGAGGCGAGCACGGAGGCCGGCGTCTGGCGTGAGAGCCGACGAGCGTCCAGCGCTGACAGAGACTTGCCAGTCTGTCAGCTCGGACGCAGTACCGCCGCATGTACGACGACGTCGCGTGCCAGCATTGTTCGAGCGCTAGAGCCTGGTTCCGTCCGGACACGCGTGCCAGCATCCTATGTGCGTGCTCGGTTGCGACATCAACCAGACAGGTAAGCTGGTTGTGAAATAGTTAGCTCCACGGTGAGCAGTTAAGTGATAGTTCTAGGTAACAGCTCGCTTCAAATGCTGCCCAGTAACATAAAAACTTAATATTTCAAAATGTAAAAACTTATACAATAACTATAAAAACTCATCATAATATAAAATTAAGGGTTCAAGCAGCCACGTTTAATATGCAGCAGTGACGACAAGTTGTAGAGTAAAGCAGCTACGGGTACAGGTACGCAGCGTTAAATTGCAGCGTGAAAGTTTGTAGAGTAAGACAGCTGACGCGCGGTAAACAGGATAACAGCAGGGTTTGAATTGCCCCAGGCAGTGAAGTTGTAGGTAAAGCAGCTAGGTAACAGGTAAAGGTGGTTAATTGCAGCAGTGAAGTTCGAGGTAAAGCAGGTAACATGTAAAGTTAATGTGCTATGGTTAATCACAGATTTTTTTATTTGTCTGAGCGAGAATATGAGCTAGAAATAAGTGGGACTCTCAAATGACTGGAACATTTATTTCCTAGCTAAGTGGAGGATACTAATGGCTCACCGGGGCCCCGGGGCATACCCCAGTTTTTTCCTGACTTTTTAAAGATTATAAAGAATGTGAAGTTACACATAAGTTTCATTAAGTAAGACAAGCAAAAAAAGTAGAAATGTAAATCGTGCTTATATCATACATTTTTTGACATGATTGACAGGCATGACCATTCTATCAGGGTTGCGATATGACATACACATTGTAAAAGCAATCGTTAGTCAAAACGTGCCACTAGATGCGATTTTTCTTCACTGTCCATATTATAATATCAGCGATCGTTTTCTGTAGCTTTCAGAAAAAGATGACCTCATAGGAAAACATGAATTCCAGCTAGAGAATCTACAGAAACAGCTGGTTGATAAGGAAACGCAACTACATTGCTGCGAGACGTCCGTTAAGGAGTTACAGCTGCGGCTGGAATCGGCAAAATCAGAAGTGCAACTAGCTCAGGATGGCTTACGACATGCACAAGCTGTGATAAGAAAACTGCAGGACGATGTGAAAGTAAAGAATAAAAAGGTAAATAATGTAAACATATCTAGCTAGGTATACATTTGTGTATACATAATACGACACGCACTCACGCACGCAGGCATGCACGCATGCACGCACACATGTATATATATGTTCAGGGTCATAACCTGTACATAGTAAGCTTTAATATGTGGTTCAAACGTTTTAGTTTTGGCCAGGGAAAGTGGCAGGATTTTGTTCTTTGGACACTGTTTGCCCTGGGAGTCTATAAATGGATATATGTGTGTGGCACTCGGTAAAATCTGTATATCTGTAAAGTTCTGCCTCTATTTCGAGCGTCTCTCGTCACTAAAATACTGCTAGTAATTTTAAGCCTAATTCTCTTTTCTCATTTCTTATCATGAATTCAACTGATCTGAATCTGAACTTCAAGATAACTGATCGAGCTCCAGTTGGACTCTTATATATCATCATCATCATCATCA